CCGCCCTTCCTGAACTCCCCGCCGCTGGGCCCCGGCCTGCAGCCGCTCGGGCCGCCGCCGCCCGCCTACCCGTGCGGCCCCGGCTTCGGGGACAAGTTCCCGCTGGACGAGGCGGACCCGCGCAACAGCAGCATCGCGGCGCTGCGCCTGAAAGCCAAGGAGCACATCCAGGCCATCGGGAAGCCGTGGCAGCCCCTCTAGGGCCCCGGGGGCGTGCGGGCCGGGAGGCGACCCAGCCGCGCGCGCCGGGCCGCCCTCCCCGCCGACCTCGCTCGCTCGCTCGGCCGCTCTCCGCGCCCGCCGGCACCGCAGGACTAGGCTGCTCCAGACCGAGGGGCAAGGCCAAGCCTCAGGCCCGCAGAGGACCCAGGCCACCGCCACGGACCCCCAGTCCTGCTGCCGGAGGGGGATAGCTACCCTTATCCCCGCGTGCGCCGGCGCCTCCAGTCCCGAGGGGGCCCGCGCTCCAGACCTTGGCCTTTCCCATGGAAGGAAAATCCGAAAAATAGAGTTTGAGAAACTGTCGAGTAGTTCGAAGTATTTGGAAGGAGAATTAAATATTTGCTTGTTTGGAGCTGAGTGTGGTTAAGCGCTCTCGGGGCTGCAGGGCAGAAGCAAACGTGGGGTACCGGAGTACGGTGATGGACAGCGTGAATCAGGGAATTGAGAATCACACGGGGCTCGGGGATCCTCCGTGCTGCAAATCCTGGGCACACTTCGCCGCAGGGGAGCACGGTTCCCATCCTGGCACGCTGTCTCACCCTTCCCTAGCATGGGCATGGGGCGTGTGGGGTCTAAGGCTCAGCTGCCTGCGCGTTCCCTGTTTCCTATTTCAATACCCGGGCCGCAGTCGCTACTTTGACTCCAATAGGAAGCGTCTACACCACCTTCCCTGGGTAAAACCTGAGCATCCCAAGGTTCCTAAAGACCTCCGTTGCGCCCTGTCCAGTCTGCCTGTGCCCAAGGGCCCCTCTCAGACCATTATGCTGGTCACTGGACTTGTTAGCGGGACTTGATAACAGTTTTCCAAGGACTGAAGCAGGGCGACTCTTTCTGAACCCTGAACTTCTTGTCTCCCCAACTCGCACACCACCTTCCAACCTAGAGGTCTGGTAACCATGTGTCGGCTACTTATGATGCTCCAGCACCCTATCTGCATTTGCCTGGTGCAGGTGGGGAGTACCAGCTTTGGAGCACAAGAGAAATCATAGGGTCTGGGGCAGCCTTCAGATACCCTTGAGGTCTACCAAAGCTCCGGGTGAGGTCCAGGACTCCTGCCTGAATGCCACTGTATCTGCTGTTGACCCTGAAGTTGAGCACCGGCCCTTCTGCCCCGCCGTGAGAGTGGAACCCCCCCGATGGATTGTGACCAAGACCTTAACACTAAAAACTGTCTGTTAGCGTCATCGTGGTGCTCTCCAATTCCCTTTCCTGAATAGATCACGCCTGATGTAGGTGAGAAAGGTGGAATAAGATTTACACCTGATTCTGTGTAAACTGCTGAGGACCCGACAAAAAGCAATACACATAATCTTGGAACCTTGGCAATGTCTCCAGTTCTTGAAACTTATTTGGGAAATGGATGATTATCCCAGGGCTGGCAGTAGGACTGTCATCATGGATCCAATCCTTGTCTTTTGGGTCCTGAGAGGCTACCACGTAGCCAAGGCTGGGTACCTAAGAGTAGATGGTCAGTGAGGACTTATTGAACAGGTTATTTGTCCTAAGAGGTAGAGTGTAATAGCTGCACTTTTCCTCACAACACCATCTCGGTGAGGAAACCCATGGATTGGCCCAAGTGACCCTAGCTCTTAGCAAGGAAAGAAAAACAAACCTAGGGTGAAGATATATGCAAATTTCTCCCAATTTGATCTACCTTCCATCTTTTATTTCATCCTTTAATGTCCTACTTTTAAGACGGACAATGGCTCTAGGAACTCCTAAATTCATTGGCCCAGGTGAGCACACATCCTTCTCCTCCTTAGTACAGTCCTGGGCTCCTGTGGCTTTGCCCAACCCGCCAGTGGCATCTTCCTCATTTCCCATAGATCATTTCCATCATTGTCCATCCTGTCTGCTCTCTGCTAATCCCCCCTTTCTTTTTTTAGTGAAATAGGGAAAACCTACAGAGCAACATTTCCTGAATGAGCACTGTGAGCATGAACTGGCTGGCACTTCTGGTGATTCCAGCTCCCACACTTACAGTGTAAACCGAGGCAAACTCTCTCTGCCTTACTTTCCTAGTTTATAAAGAGACCAATTATATCTTCCTAGTAGGGCTGTTGTGAGGTTTAGCTGAGCAAATATAAACCTCTTAGAAGAGTGCTTGCACATACTGAGCATTCAACGATCAGTAGTTTTAGTATTTTATGATCATTTTCCAAGGATTTGTCTTTGAAATCCAAGTGAGGCTCGCTGTTTTTGCCTAGCCTGATGGTTTAGAAGAGCATCCATTCTCAGGTAAAGTTAAAGAGGAGGAGGAGAGAGTGGTAGGAAAAGTGCATATGGAAAGATAACAGAAAACCAGCAGCCTGAGGCCTTGGGTTCTCCTTATCTCAGCTCCTAAGAAGAGCTCATCAGGCCATACCGGGCACCGGGACTGGAGGTGTGAGTGCTGCCTGTGAATACTTTCCTGGGGAGACTTAGGTGCACCCTGTCTCCGTCCAGTCCTGCAGCTCTAAGGTTTGGAGATTCACTGTGGGACCCAGGAATAGGGGAGCTGGTGAGATGCGGATTCTGTAGACACGGGTTGCGAGGAGAGCGGCTTTCGAAGAAGGGCCTGACAACTCTGAAACACGAGGTGCTGCTGCTCAAGCTCAAGGCCACAGAACGACGTCAAAGAGGCTCTGGCTCCAAGGCGGGAGGAGGCTTCCCCAGCTAGACTGCTAGCTCTGGTGTGGGGCAGCCACACAGCTCTCAGTGCGCCGCAGGGAAAAGCCTTCCCGGGGAAGCTTACATCACTTTCCCAAGATTCACGTCCACTGGTTCTTGACTCTTACGTAATGACGTAGGCAGATTTGGCTCAGGTGACGCCAAATAGCCACCAAAGGGAAGCAAGAACTAGCGAGGGATGGTCTTACCGGGTTCAGGAAAAGGTACTGCGCTGTTCCAAGCTCAGGGACCTAGATCAAAGCAGGTCTTGTTTCGGGCCCACCAAGCTCCGGACAATCTAAGAGAAAGGCCTAGGAGACCCCTCACTCCGGGATGACGAGGACTCCGGCCGGCAGCCCAGCGAAGCAGGTGAGTCTGCGCAACTGTTCCTCCGCGGCTCCACCTAAGGAGGTTGGGCGGGGCTCCCGAGTAGCGGGGGCGGGGACAACGCGTCGGATTGGGCGGCTCCCGGAGGAGGGCGGAGTCAGGAGATGAGGCACCGCCCTGCGAGCCACGAGAAATCGCGGACTGGAGCAGCGGGCTCCGCCCAGCCGCGGGGCTGCGATCGGGCTCCCGCCTTCCTCCCTTTCCCTGGAGGTCTCTCCCCACCCAGCCAGGGCGGTGTCTGCACTGCGCGCCGCGGCGCTCGGCTCTGTCACTGCTCAGCTTCTCCTCCAGCGGACGCGGGTCTGCAGAGCTATGGGGTCTGCCGGGGCCCCCATGGGCTCTGCGCGGCGGCCCCGGGCTGGCCCCGGGCTGGCCCCGGCTCTCGGAACTGAGTCCTGCCCGCGAAGGTCGAGCTCCCACCCGAGCGGCCTGGGACGGGAGAGGCCCTCTGGAGGGGCCCGGGCACGTTCGTCTCTTCGGAGCCCCGGCGCACGGGGTGGGCGATGCTGCCCCCACCCAGCCCCACAGCGTCGCCCCACTTCAGCCTGGTTCAGCTCGCCTCTTGGTCCCCATTCCAAGGCTCCTTTTCAGATTCTTACCGCAAAAACGGGATCCAGGCTTCCAGCGGGACGGGAAAGACTTGGCAGGGGCGATGACGTGGAGTTCAAGTCGCGGCAGCTCCTCTGGGTTCAAACCACTTGAGAAAGGGCAGGGCGGGCAGCACCAGGCCGGTGTGCCGGACCCTTCCAGAGGCCCGCGGTGCGCCAGTGATGTCCCCTTAATTGGGGACCGGCTGTAATCATGTGGCCTCAGCTCGTTAACCGTAGAACAGTGGACAGAGTTAATGACTCATTAGTGATTAATTCCTTAACTGCGCCATAATTGCTCACTGTAAAACGCCTTTCTTAAAACTGGATTAAATCATCTAGATCCTTGGTTTTGTCCCACACAGCCCTCGAGGACAGGGAAGCTGCTGCTTCCCCACCATCTGGAGCAGGCCGCTTTAGCTCATGGCAGGTTGCGATGGCAGCCCCTCATCCTGGAAGTGGGGACGTCTGTGGGCAGTTGTGGCTGTGATTTGAGGGCACTCCTGCTGTAGGGCTGAGATCCCCATCCTCTTCTCTCCACCATAGACACCTACAATGTAGCATCTCATTTCAGAAAGTTTTCCTCTGCTTTGTTCTTAGTGTAAAGTTAGCTACCATATATTTACATTAGTGGATTCTGAATGAATTGTACTCATGGACGCCTTCCTGTCCAAAGCTGTCTGAGAAGTCCTTTTTTCCAGTTCTCGCAGTGACTATGTGCTATAATATCCCTGTCAGAATTTTTTTCTTTAGCATTTCTGTGTGTGTGTGTCTCTGTGTGTGTGTGTGTGTCTGTGTGTCTATTTGCATTGCATTTGTTTGGGGGAAAGGTACAAATAATGCCATTTCTTGGTCATTTTTGATCCCTGATCCACCCACCCTTCCTTGCCCTAGACCCTGTCACCGTCTCCCAGCAGTCTGCCTCCTTGTCCCTGCAATCTCTCCTTTGTTTTACTCTTTAATTGATTTATGAGAGTAACTGAGAGAAACCATGTGGCATTTAACTTTCTGTGTCTGGCTTATTTCAGTTAATATTATGGACTTAAGAGTCAACCCTTTTCCTGCAAATGACATGATCCTATTAGTATTTTTTAAAAAAACTGGTCCCACAGTTGCCCAGCTAGCTTAGTCGGTAGAGATGAGACTCTTAAAAAAAAAAACTGGTCCCTAGGTCCCCACAGCCCCCAACACCTGGTATCTGTAGCCAGGCATGTGGATGCATGATGATACTCTCATCCCTCAAGGAGCATGGCCTAAGGAGGGGAAATAAGGACCGTCTTAGTCACTTTCCTGGTTGCTGGGACAAGGTTCCTGGCACCTACAATCTAAAGGGGGAAACGTTTGTTTTAGCTCAAAGTTTGTAGAGGCTTCAGCCCATAGTCATCAGCTCCAAGGCAGAGGGGCACAGCAGAGAAAAGGTGCTCACCTCATGGTATTCAGGAAACAGAGAGAAGGGCAGAGCCTAGAAGGGAGATGTAACCCTCCAGGCCAGCACCTGTGACCCACCTAATCCAAGCAGACCCCATCTCCTCACAGCCGATGTCCCCATATCCAGTCACCTTCTGAATGCATGAGGCTTTGGGAGGCATTTTAGACAGAAACCATAACAGGACCCAACTGCCACGTTTCCAAATGTCAGCTGGTTTTCTTCCCCTGAGCATTTCATATTTCATAGAATAAATGTGTTCAAAACAAAGCATTCTTTTATAGCTTTCTAAAAACTCCTTAAAGCTGCCCTCTCCCTCTGCCTGACATCCACCATGGGGTAGGAGGAAAATCATTCTTAACCTCTTGAGCCGAGGTAGAGCCCAACATCCTTTCCTTCTTCTCAGCTACACACGGTCCGGATTTTAGCTATCACTTGGCTGCCAAGAATAAAGACTGCTTCGGCTTCTTCACCCACAATGCCTGGCCTGCAGTGTTGCACCATAGAGCTGAGTGTGGTCCCGTTTTATGCAGCAGTCATTTCATTTGCACACTTTCATTGAGTTCTTTGCTTTTGGGCTGAGCCCTGTAGCTGTACAGACACAAGCCCTCAATCTTCTCAATACACCCTTTCACACTGCAGCCGGAATTAGATGTCTCCAACAATTCCTCTGCTTAAAAACAACTCCTTATGGCCTATAAGGCAAAAGCCACACTCCTGAAAACGGCATCCGGGGTTGTTCTCCCTCCACCCGTCTTCCCAGGTTGTCCCCAGCATCCCCCACTCAGCCCTCTTTCCCTCTTCGCTTTCTGTCCAGGTGACACCAGAGTGCTCTGCATGTCACTGACCCACCACATGCTTTTTCACTTCGAGGCTTTGAACTTTAGAGCTAATGAATGAGTTCAGCAAGGTTCTAGGATACAAGATCAATGTACAAAATCTTTGCAACAAACAATCCAAAAATGAAATTAAGGATATGATTCCTACCATAAAAACACCATCAAGGACAACATATTTGGGAATAAGATTAACTAAAAGTGCAAAACTTAGACTTTGGAAACTACAGACCATTGAAGAAGCTGGGTGCAGTGATTCACACCTTAATCTCAGCACCCTGGGAGGATGAGGCAAGAGGATCACATATTCCAGACCATCCTAAACAACCTCAGCAACTTAGTGAGACTGACCCCACCTCAAAAAAGAAATGAAAACTGCCCACACAGAAATATGCAGCATTCAAGGACACATTTCTGCATGGGCATACAGTTTGCATCTAGCCCAAAGGAGCAAACAATGCGGATGTCCACTGCAGATACGTGTACGAACCAAATGTATCCATATGGTGGAGATTTCAGTCCACCATGTAAAAGAGTGAAGTCCTACAGCATGCTGCACTGTGGG